GTGTCACGGAGTATTGGGGAACTCAGGGCCCAGCCATCTCTCCGCTTCCTGCGATTCACCATGACTCTCAGCCAGCCAGTAAAGCAGAAGGTTTATTTGGATGACAGGAATACAGTCCAAGACAGGTCTTGCAGGCACAGACAACAGGGCCCCCCTCAGTTGGGTCCAGCTTGGGGTCCCAGGGCATGCCAGCCCACCCCCTTGGGGGGTCAGAGCCATCTCTGCCTCCCAGCCATCTCTCCAGCCTCCTTCCAGCCTGCTTCCAGCCCTCTGCCTTCAGCGACCCCTCCCACAGCCTTTGTTCAGTTTCCCGGGCCCCGGAGTCATCTGACCTCCAACCCCTTCCTGGGTTCTCATGTTACAAGCTCAGGTATGTTCCCTTGGGCCGGCTCCCATCCCCCGATGCAGACCATCCTAGTCACACTCCCCCGCCAGCACTCACACACCCCAGCAAGAACAGTCCCAGTTCGTCACAGGGGCTCCTCACTGGGGGCTGTCTCTGGGGAATCCCCCCCCCAAGGGAGGGGGCTGAGCCCCTGGGACAGTTCAGCCTTTCAGCGCGTCACCCCTGTGCTGAGCCCAGCAGGTCAGGCCCGGGGCAGAGAACAGGAGCGACCAGCCCTGGAGCTCTGCCATGCAGGGAACTGATCAGGGGCCCTGTGCTGGGGTGATCCAGGCCCCACACTGCAGAGGAAGGTGGAAAAGCCCCCAGGGTTCCCGCCAGGCTGCCCTGGGGGGAAATTCCCTCCCTAGCCCCCTCTGACAGCCCTGAGCAGGGAGTCTGACTCACCCGCCCGGCAGCTCAGATCCCTGGCCCAGCCCCACCGGCGTCCCGCCAGGTTACGCCCAGTTTGCACTGGGGTGAGTAACGGCACAAGCTGCAAGGCAGAGGCCCGGGCAGCGACGCCCTGGAGCCCCGGGCGCCAGGCAGCTGCCGCACTGCGAATCAGAAGCAGCGCCGAGGCCTGGGGCGACGGGAGCTTTGCCGACTGGGGAGATGGTCCCCCAGGTCGAGCCAGGAGCTAAAATCACGGAGAACCGAGCGCGGGCCGGCTAACGAGAACGAGGCTGTAAAGGTGAGTGCCAAGTGTCAGGCTCTGCGCTGGGTCTCTGGAGGCCTGGGTTTGATTCCCAGTTCTGCCACAGACGCCCTGTGTGACCTTGGGCAAGTCACTGCATCCCTCCAGGCTGAGCTTCCCCACCTGTGACTGGGGATAATGAACCTTCCCCTGTCTCCGAGCGTGAGCTCTTGGGCAGGGGCTGTCTCTGGCTGGGCAGCACCGGGGCCCGGATCTGGGTCAGGCTCAGGGCAGTACCCAGCCTGCTGGGGCCCAGATCTGGGTCAAGTCCCTTAATACAGACAATGAGCGAAAAGATTCCACAATGTTTCCTTTCTTTAAAGGCTCTGCTATCTCCAGCAACGCTTGGCGCTGCCTGTGTATCCCACAGCACCACTTTCTTGCCCCCAGGGTGTCCGGCGGGAGGGTGTTGTGGTGTTGTGTGCACTCGGAGAGTCATGCAGCCCGGCCCTTTGGCCCCCATGTCTGACTGCAGGGCTGTTTTAAGCCAGCGACGGAGCTGTCACACACACACACACACACACACACCCCGTTCTGACAGGAGAGCAGAACCAGAGCCAGGAATGGGAGCCAGGTGTCCTGAGCCCCGGCACATTGCTCTGACCACTAGGCAACACCGACTTGCTCGTTTTATTACCCTGTTTTCCAGATGGGGAAACTGAGGCACAGAGCGACTCAGGGACATGCCCAAGGTCACACCGGGGAGTCAGTGGTGGAGCTGCAAATTGATCCCAGCTCCCCCAAGTCCCAGCCCAGCACCCTGACCACAAGGCCAAATGGTCCCCCCCTTGGGCTGCAGAGAGTTTTGACAAGTGTCGCTATTTATGATGTAAATACTTGTTCATCCCTTGAGCAACCCCTAAACCACAAGGATGAAAGGAGACGCCGCAGAGCGCCGCGGACACGACTCTCACCGCGCGCTCACCCCGGGGATGTAGCAGCTGTGGGAATGCAAACAGGAGGCTGGGTTAAAGGTGACCCATGGCGGGGGGGGGGGGGGAGGTTAGATGCGTGTCTGGTGTGATACACGTGCATGCGCGGCAGGATTTATTTTATTTTTGTTCATGCAGCATCCGGACTGGGCCCTAGTCCTGACCGGGCCTCTGGCTGCCGTTCTAAGAAATAAACAACAGCAACCACAACGCCTTGCCCTCCGTAGCGTCAGTCCGTCTGTCCTTCTGTCCGTCCTTCTGTCCGTCTATATTATTCTAATAATTAGTAGTTATTTGTGTATTTGTAGCTAATTTATTTATTTGTATTTCTA